TATTTTTGTTAATCTATCATAATCTCAAATGAGCATGTTTCCTTCAGGAGTTCCAGGTAGCCTGGTGATGGTTGCTGATGTTCAGGCTAAAGACCATCTTCTCTCACTGAGCTGGGAATGCTACCAACAGGTGGAATCCCATTAAATGTTTAAATATTGACTAACATGCTCCTCAATGAAATATTGAATGTGACATGATGCATCCAGTTCAGCGCAGAAAGGTTTTAACTTAAACATATTCAGATCTAATATCTTGGTCTTGGACCCATGAAGCTGTTGCAGACAGAACTGAGGGAATGTGATGTGGGAGCAGCATTTCCATGTCTGGTTTCATCATCCTGCTTCTTTGTGTCTGAGCTGCAGCGTCCCACTTTCTCCTGCAGTTTCATTAAACTTTCATCCCTCTGAAGTCGTTCAGGAGAAGTCATCACATTGTTTCAAAGACAGAGAGAGTCCCTGAGGAGCGCGTCTGAGCAGGGTTTATCAGAGCAAACTCACTTCCTGTGATGGAGTGAAAGCACCCATACCAAACCGGAGGAAAGGCTGGTCTGCATTCAAATCATCCTCCGTTTGGAGAATCCTCACCCTCTACCTCAGATTTTACAGTCCTCTCATGTTTCCATGTCCAATTAAAGAGGCAGCTTGTGTCCTGGCTGGGCTGATGTGTCCTTTGCTGGGTCTGGTTCTCCTGTTGTTGGTATTTTGGGAGTTTTATTTCTGTTTTTCTGAACCATAAATAAGGACATCCATCATAAAAGTGTCAGCTGGTGTGAAAGGATGAAAACAACAGGAACCCATCAGATCGCATGGTGACGGACACAGAGCAGCTGCTGGACAGATTATCATGTCCCTGCTGGACAGAAAGATGAAGACAATGTCCAGCTGCTTGAAAACAATGCAGCCCCCCACCCCCCACCCCTCCGGATACGACAGCTATGCCAGCAACGGGAGGAATGGAGCACATTCAGTGGTTTGATTCCTGCAGCTGCTGGTGTCCCTCTGCACCAGTTCAGGAGCAGCAACAGTGTTGCTGGACATGAAGGTCTGTTGTCGACATCCGACCAGGCCGAGCCATACCTGGACCCCCTTATACCTGGAGCCCCTTATACCAGGACCCCTTATACCTGGACCCCCTTATACCAGGACCCCTTATACCTGGACCCCCTTATACCAGGACCC